ACACATTTTAATCTTTGCCCTATGTTGGAGGAAAAACAGTCACTAGGTTCATTGGCTGGGGAGGAATATTAGGGCCTAACTGTTTGGATCGATGGATGGATGCAGGGTGGATGGGTGGATGGATGGATGGGTAGATGGATGGATCTTCCAATTGCTGCTTGTATATGCTTCAATCAACAATCTGGTTTCATCCTGTGCCTCACTCTCAGAGTTTCTTGATGTCTCCGCTTCTTGAGCCTTTCCAGGGTCTTGCACTCTGCAATCATAAGCTTTCATTTCTACTTTCTCTGATCTGAGTTTGGGGACTTTTGTCTATGTGTTTCCCAGTGTTTCCCACTCTCTCTCTGTCCTGGTTAGTTTTGACTTTTTGATTTCTTTATCATCACTTTAAAGGGGTTTCAAAAGGAGCACCATGCTTAACCAAAAACCCCTTGCTCATTTCATTATTAAGGGTAAATCTTTTTTATTTCAAAAATTAATGCTTGCTTATTCCTAAACATCTGTTAATAAATGTGTGTTTTACATTAAAAAATCCACATTATACCAATCTAGATATGACTATATACCCATTTGGGGTATAAGTTTTCAGAATTTTTATGCTTATATGAAAATATTAATATTTATTTAAAACATGGATTATTATGTGCACACAACTTTGTAAACTTTTATTTTCACCTGGTGTTATACCACAGACATCTATTCATGCTAATATATAGATGTACCTCATATATTTTTTATCATATTTTGATATTTCCTAATTTTGGTATTTAATCACTCTCCTTTTGGTAGTTTAGATTGCTCTCAATTTTTCACTATTATAAATTTTTTACAAGCATCATTAGGCATATTCACTTATTTTCTTAAACTCGGAACACTTCACAAATTTGCATGTCACCCTTGCACAGGGGGCCATGCTAATCTTCTCTGTATTTTAGTGTAAGTGCTGCCAAAGCAAACACTTTCTTAAGCTCAATTTATAGAACTTGATTTACGAGTTCAACATTATCAAATGGTTCCTCAAAAAAAAAAAAATGTATATTCCCATCAGCAATTTACATTCAGGTCAGCAAGGTATCAAGGTGTTGGTTTCCTTACAGCAGAAGACCTCGTTCTTTGGCTACTCCCTTTAAATACTGACACCTGCATTATTAGTTTTGGGGCTAGTCAGCCTTTCATGGCTGTGAGTTTGGGCTTCCTTCAGACTTTGAAGACGTGGAAATTGCACAGTGTTAGAATATAATCAGGGGCTCCCACTTTGCACATAAGGAAACAGGAGCTCGGGAGTAGCGGTGACTTGCTCGTACCCGGTGCTGGTGGAGCTGGGACAATAGAAAGAGTGTCCTGACCCCTCATTAAGTCCGAACCTCCTTCCCTGGATGGACATGAGAACCCCTGCAACCTGCCCTTGCCTGAGCTCCTGGCCCCTGCCCGCTGAAGCCGGAAGCGTGGTCCTCACAGGGGGATGAGAACCCCAGTTCAGAGACCTGGTAAGAGGCTCCGCCTTCCCTGGGCGCACTGCCTGTGCCAGGCCCACATTCCTCCTGGGAGCCCCATATTATTAATCCCATTACACAGAGGACGGACACGAAAGAATTGGACATTAAGTTAACCAAATTAGTAATCAGAGGAGATTTAGCACTGGGGACTAGATTGGATTTATTTTTAGAATGAATTCTGTGTCACTGTGTGAATTGGATTTAAAGGGAGGGAGAGTGGTTGCATTGGTCTCCCCTTATTTGAGTCTCTGCTTCCCAGTTTTAGTTACCTGCAGCCAACCATAGCATGGAAACATGCACAATAAGCCATTTTGAGAGACAGAGTTCAAGCACATTCACATAACTTCTATTACAATATTTTGTTAGAGTTGTTTATTTTTATTGTTAATATGTTGCTGTGCCTAATTTGTACACTAGCCTTTACCAGAGGGATGTAAGTATAGGATAAAATATGGTACTTGTACTATCTACTGGGGGACTTAGACCTTAACCTCCCCTATAGATGGGGGAAGGATGCTGCTGTGTCAGCAAGACCTGTCTGCCCTGTGTGGATTATGGAGATGATTCCCGTGAAGACTGGTGGTATTCTGGTTCCTCTTTTCTCTAACACACACAACTTAAACATAAGCATAAAACCCAGCAGCATGAACAGCTTCTCTAGACCCCATCTAGCTGTTTCAGGATTTTGTGTGGCCTGGTCTGGATCACCAGTCGAACACAATGCTTGCTGGCAGAGTCTCTGCTCTGGAATGATTGAGCTGTCCAGCATGGCCAGTGTGTAAATGTCAAGTAAACACCAAATTCAAGTGCAATCTAACTATTGTACTGGGACTGTTTGCTTTAGATATACCAGTCAGCAGGAAGGGGGAAGGACAGGGAGAGGGGAATGTATGACACTCCACAAGGCAGATTCTGAATGTTGCGAGCTCTCCCTTGACCAGCTGGAATCTTGGAGAGACCAATGTCAAATAAATAAGGAGCCGTGCTCCATGTTGCAAAAATAAGCATATCCACTGGCTTGAAAAAAAAAATTCAGATGAGAGAATATTTTCCAGTCAATCACACTGCAGCAAAGTCATCCTGTTGAATCTGTGACTCATTGACTCTGTGTGTCAATAGACAGAGAGCCAGCCCAGTGTTATGACTTCACTGGGAGATGCAGCAGGAGCGGGAGGAAGCAGGGCCGACCGTCAAACGGGGCTCCAAACTACGACAATAAGTAACAAGGAAATTCTGACCACTCGTAGGCTGGGTAATTGCACGTGCTGTTCCCTTTTTTTTAGTTCTTCCTTGGCTCCTAGGAAAGAACCAGTTTAAAATGTGGCTGACTTCATCCTTTCCTTGCATCCGCATTGATGACGTGGTCATGCTAAGGGCTAGGGCGCACAGAGCCTCCTGTGCCTGGTGTCCTATAGACCTCGCTATCACGTCCTTTCCTTGGAGAAATTCTCTAAGGTGGTTGGTATTTGTATTATTCTGTAGGTGAGAATATTGAAGTCCCCATAGGTTGCCTTTGGAGACTTCTGGTCAATGATTCTAACAGTTTTTCCTGGCTTTCATTTCAGGCTCTGTGCAGTTTTCGCATAGTCTCTCCTTTTGCTGTCCTACTGTGAGTCAGACACTACCCTCGGCCTTGGTGTCTCCATAGGCAGATGAAACTGTCATTACTGCTCTCCAGGACTTGCCAGAATACTCTTGTTTGATATTTCAGATCACTGCGACATGATGGTTTAAGTTGCCTGATGGGAATAGATATTTTAGAAGAGAGAATACAGACTCATTGCTTCTTTCCAACGTTGCGCTATTTGCAGATTCTGCAGGAATGCACTAAGAGATAATAGACCAGGGCCTCCCCTGGTGGCACAGGTGGTTGAGCGCAGCGCTGTGAAGCCGCCCGCAGCTTCTGCAGTGCCAGTTTGATCTCCACCGGCCTCAGAGCAGCCCACATGGCGAGCAGACCTCTCCTGTCTCGCCCGCTGTGTATTTCATCAGTCTGCCTGTTCTGCTTACCACTCTGTCTCTAGTGAATCCTCTCACCCTCCTGCGCATCTGCCTGTACCCTGGCTTTTGTATAAATAAAATAAATCTTTAAAAAAAAAAAGAGAGATAATAGACCATAGGTGACCTAAACCATGACGCCAAAAAGGGTGATCTGAAAGCAAAGCTTACAGCCAATTAGCTTTGTTTGGCATCTGGTTCGAGAGGTAGAAGCTTGATGTTGATCTTGTGCATCCACAGAGCAGGGTAGATGGGTATGTGAGCCTTGACTGTGCATCTGGGAGGCTGGCCCCTCGTCAGGTTTGACTACTGCACACACGTGAACTTGGGTCAGTCTGCTCGGTCTGTCCAGTGGGCTTTTTATCTATAACATGAAATAGGGGGTGAAGCAAGTCCCTGGTTGCTCAAAGTAGCAGGATTAATCTGGATGGCTGGAGTCTTGCTTGATTTTGATGGCCTCAGCCTATAAATTTGAAGTGTAAGAAATGAAAAACAAGTAACGAACTTTGCTAGCTCTCAAGATCAAGACATTTCATCATCATAACTCTCTGCAATTCTGTTGGAAACTGAGTTTATAAAGTAGCTTTGATCCTCTAAAAAAATCTGTTGTCCAGATAGACAAAAGCAGTTTTCAGAGTGACTTTGCCTTTAATTTAATATAACATTGATTCTTTTTCTTTCTCTCCGAGGCCTCAAGTGTTCAACTAGTTCTGAGAAGTCCTATATAACGTATTCCTTGGTCGCCTTTATCCTCTTAATGTTACAGTCTTTAAAATTTTTCTTCTTGACACCTGGGAAAATTCTTGAAAGGACGTGGTCAGTCCTCTCTTGCCGGAGTATACTTTCTGCAATTTGTCTTGGCTCTGTGTTGTTTGTCAAGCCCTCACCGAGCCCTGTGAGTGGGATGCTCCGTTTACCATTTTGAATTTCTCCCCTTTCAGTTGGCAAGCATCATATGTCTGCTGTAATCTGCCTGAAAAACAAACAGGAGAGTTTACACTGGTTTCTGTGTCAACCATCTGCTTTCTCAATGATCTGTACAATACTGTAAGTGCTAGAAAACAGTGTGGACATGCACATGCACGTGTGTGCAAAAAAAACCACTTCCTCCCTTCACATGACTCCTATTTAGGGAGCACCAACTATGTCTCTGGCTCAGTACTTGCCACTGAGGACCCCGGCGGAGAGCAAAGATAGCTTCGATCCTACCCCGAGAGAACTTAGAGTGTATTGCCAGGAGAAAGACATTAATCAAATAATCACAAAAGTAATTGTAAACTGTACTAACTACCATGAAAAAGGCTGTGCAGAATAGGGAAGCTCATGCTATAGTTGGCCTGGCCCATGTGAACAAGGAGTGGGGAGAGGATCCTCATATTCTCTTTTGACCTCTGATCCCTGATAAATGATTAAGACAAGTTTAGTTTTGTTTTTTATGCCCTTACATTTCTAAACCCATCATGATCTCAGTGGGATTTATATTTTTTAAATCATTTAATCTCCCAGGCGAGGGACTGAGGATCCAGAGGTGAAGAAGACATTGCACGAGAGATATGCCATGGAGGAAATGGTCATGCAAGGTGCCAAACATTACAATAGCGAGTGGGATGCATGGGAGTCCAGAAGAGAGCAGACTAAGTTCTACAGGGGCAGCACCTGGCAGGGAGGTTGGAGGAAGATCGTCCAGGCAGAACACGGCACTCACATGGGAGCTCTGACCCTGTAAGTAGACCAGTGTACATCCAGTGGGGCCAAAGTGCTGTGTGTAGGAGGCATTGGTGAATCTTTGGAAAAGTCCTTTGGGGACAAAAAAGCTGGGTGCTCCGGCATCTAGCTAGAAGCCCCCAAGAAACTAAATTGCCTGACACCTATACCATAAATCATTCTTGTACGGTCCCTTCCAATTCTGTGAAGCCTTCCAGATCAGAATATTATCAAACTACAAGGAGCAGAAGGAATCAACAGGGTAGGAAATAGTATAAAAAGGAACCACAGGGCCTCCCCGGTGGCGCAGTGGTTGAGCACTGGGTTGCAAAGCTGCCCACAGCCTCTGCAGCGCCGGTTCTATCCCCGGCTGCCAGGCGAGGGTCCCACATGGCGCGCAGACCTCTCCTGCCGCCCGCTGCTCCCCTCACCAGTGTACTTCGTCTGTCTGCCTGTTCTGCTCTCCGCTCTGGCTCTGGTGAATTCTCTCACCCTCCCGCGCTTCTGACTGTACCCAGTGCTTGTATAAATAAATAAATAAATCTTTTTTTTTTTTCTGCCTCCATATCTTTTTTTTTTCTTTCTCATCATGTTCTATTTATTTATTTTAAATAAATAAATCTTTAAAAAAATAAAATAAATAAAAAGGAACCACAATTAAAAAAACTGAAGGGTCAGGCGTAGGCCTTCCATTAAGTCCAAAAATTGCTCAAGACCCACATGTTACTATTATACTTTCCTCACTTCAAGGGATTCTTGATTTGAGATCTGCATTCATTTGGGGGGCGTAAATGTGTATAGGTCTACCACTCAGAATATGAATCATATTTTTCTTCAAATCCATCCATTTAAAAAATATTTTAAAACAGTAAAACATATTTAATAGTAATGTGTATAACATCACAAGTTAGAGGTGCTGTGTCAATGGTTAATAACCCTGTAATGTGATAAATGTCTAACAATGAAAACAATGCATCAGTCCATGAGTTCATCCTGAGTCCCATCAGTGGCAATTGTATTCCACTTTGATAAAAACCAGTCTACAACAACCCCAGGGCTGTTTAGTTGTTAAAAATCAAAGGCTTCCTTATATTTCCCATCACTTTTAAGTCACAACAGTGACTGAGCGCAATCTATTCTGTCTAAGCTGAGGTTTCTATGATAGCAGATAAGGGCCATTGCATTCTTCTGCCATTGGGCTTGCATTCTCTCTCCCTCCTTATTTTCTCCCATCCAAATGACTAATTGCCCACCTCCCTCCTCTTATACTCCTAGTATTGCAGCTTCTGGTGGTCAGTTGTCTGTTTAAAATATTTATTTCTCCTTTCTGAATTATCCCTCAAAAAAACAAAACAAAACAAAACAAAACTTCAACCCTAAAACAGTAGTGACTCAAGGCCCATTTCACAGATGAAGAAGCTGCATCGAGGAATAGCTGTTCTATCTCAGTGCAAGTGGTTGGTCAGAGCTGGGCCTGGAGTTCCAGAACGGGCTGGATATCCAAAGCCGTGGCTCGCTCTCTCTGACTAAATTCACTTGGTGAACTTTGCTCCTCATCTATTTAACAGGAATTTGCTGAATGCCAGTTATGTGCAAAGCACTCTGGGATGTGAAGGGATATTCAGGGAAGAATATGAGTGACAGAAGCTGTGTTCCTGGGGGAGTCAGAATTATGAAGGATTATCTTCTTGGTTTTGAATTGTATCATATTTTAGTGAAGTAACACTGGCTGGCAACGCTGAGTATGACTATAGGTCACACCTCTTCAAATGTATGTTACAAGGATCCCTGTTTTTTTTTTTTTTTAAAGATTTGTTTATGCATACAGAAACTGGGGTACAGGCCTGAGGTGTAGGGGGTGGAGAATTCACCAGAGACAGAGTGGGGAGCAGAACAGGTAATCTATTGAAATACACTGCCTAGGGTAGCAGTGGGTGAGACAGGAGAGGTCTGCTTTGCCATGTGGGTCAGCTCCCTGGCCGGGGATTGAACTCGTGCTGCGACTTAACCCCTTGTGCCACCAGGGAGGCCCCAGGATCCTGTTTTTTTAAGAAATAAATTTAATTTTTAAGTTTAAAAATTTCACTGATTTCATGTCACATGGTAAAGACACATGGTAAAATTCAGATAGCTTAGGGAAAACCCAAGATTAAAAGTTAAACCTTTTCCTATTACTCCTAAATACCAGATCTGTTCCACAGATGAAGCCATTGTAAATAACGTCTTCTTTTTTTTTTAAATATTTATTTATTTATGCATATAAGAACGGGAGTGTAAGCCAGAGGTGGGGCGGGGGTTGGTGAGAGGAATCACCAGAGAGTGGGAGCAGAACAGGAAGATCCACTGAAATACACTGCTGAGGGGAGCAGTGGGCAAGACAGGAGAGGTCAGCTGCACCATGTGGGTTACTCCCTGGCAGGCAGGGATCTCCCTCATGCTGTAGTGGCTTTCAGTAGCTTGATAGTGCTGTGTTTAACCCCTGTGCCATCAGGGAGGCCCTATTGTGAATTGCTTCTTATTTTCACTTTTCCCTTTGAAGACACTTTGAAGAGATTCACAACAAAGTATATGTTTTCTTTTCCTTTATAAAGTCAATAATGTAGAAATAGGAAACCCAGTCCATGAAAAAAAAAAAAAAGGAAGCGAGTACGCAATACAGTTGCTCTGATTGAATGTCCAACCTGCTTCTTAGCTTGTAGGCCAAGACAAAAAGGGAACCAGCTGAGTTCCATGGCCCTCATTATCATAGAGGAAGAAGTCCATTGTTATTCTGAATCCTCAAGCCTCAAGTTCAAGTCTCACCTGGAAGCCCATATAAGGATATTGATAGGCACAATAATCAATGTTATGGCAACAGCTTCATAGCAGATGCCTATGTTTGTCCACCATTTCTCCTGAAGGTCTTTTAAATAAGGTCAAGGGTTTAACAACAACGATGCAGACACCAGCGAGGGCTTGGCTAACCTGATTCCACATCTGGCTGTGACACAAAGCAGAAGGGAATAAAGCTCTAGTTTGGGCTACCAGTGGAGAACAGCAAGCAGATCTCTGTGGAATCTGCGACCATTTGCAAATTGAGCAGTGGAGAAAGCCTTGCAAGGGATGGCCTTGGAGGAGCAGGAGTCAGGATCCCAGAAGGGGGGGACAGGGAAGGGCCTTGCAAGTTTAGGGAGCAAGTGCAAAGGCATAAAGAAATGAAAATGCTTGGCCGCTTGGAGAATGTTAAGCTGTCGGGGGTTGAGAGAAAGAAATTCTAATAAGGCTTCCATTAAAGAGGCTGGATTTGCTGCTTGGACATTTTCTAGCTCTGCCGAGACAACTTTTTGTTGAGTTAAGCGAAAACGAATGAGAATCAGATGGGCCACATTTCTCTTGAATACACACGGGCTTAAAAACGAAGGGGAAAAAGAACTTGACAGAATGTGTCTTGGCTTTTGCCAAACCCAAAGTATTTGAAAAATCACACAAGACACATCTCAAACCCAAACACATGCCTGGATTCTCCCACTCCTAATTGCAGCTGCAGCCATTTAATAAAATGAATTGTGTACAAAAAATGGAGCCTGAATGGAGCAGCTTCATTAGAGAGAATGACTGATGCGGGTGGTTAGCCAGTTTGCCCTTGAGAATGAACACATCTCATTACCCCCACAGAGAAAAAGAGAGGGCCCACATAGGGTCGCTAACCAAGCTATTGAACAGACTCTTTTGTAGAACAATTAAAACCCATATTACTGAACTGCATTGTATCATGTGTAGAAAGAACTCGCATCTCTTGTTTCTCCCCCTCTCCATCTCTGGGTTTTACATTTCGGAATGTAAAAATGAAAAGAAATATGTTTTGCATCAATCTCTATTCACACGAGTGGAGACCAAATGAGAGATGGTGGAAACAGAAGAACAAGATCGCTAACACTATTTGTTGTGCTTCTAAACTCTCAGCTTGAGGATCACCAACGATTGAAAGGTGGCAGGAATGTGAGACCGAGAGAGGTTAACTGATTTATCTAAGGCTCACAGCTGGGGAGTCGTAGAGTTCAGACTTAATCCTGGATCGCTGATTTCTGTCCTTTCATGGTAAACTCTTTATTGGGTCAGACTCAGAAACTTGGAAGAAGAAAGGGGAATTATCTTGTATATTCCTTATTCCCTCCCTCCCTCCCTTTCTAAACAGACGCTGGGATCCGAAGACAGGTAAGGTGCCTTCAAACTCCGTCCGTGGAGATGATCATATGGCTATGCTGACAGAGCTTAAAAATAAAAAAATAAGCAGCCACTGAAAAAGGATTCAGTAGGGGTGGGGGTTGCAAAGTTAAGGAGGAGGGCTTCACAGAAGGCCTGGAAGGTGCCCTGAAGCCCAAGAGATAATGTGCTGATAATGTGCTCATATATGACAAAGTGGGGTGTGAGGGAGGTGTGAGAAGTGTGGTGGGTGTGGATGGGTAAGGGAGCAGCTGGGATCAGGGGCTCTGAGGCTCAGTGAGGCCAGGTGGTGGTGGTGCTGGCAGCACATGAGAGAAGTGGCAGAAGTGGGCTCTGATCCCAAAGGGTCTTGCATAACACGTGAGTAGGGTGGTTGGGCTCAATGGTGGTGTCATGCCCAGGACTGCTCAGGACTCATCCTCCCGACATGAAAGTTCTTAAAGTGAGGAAGGCTCTGGCGACTATTTTCCTGTGTGTGTGTGTGTATTTTGAAGTTATTTAATGCAATCAAAACAGTGTCCTTGTTGAGCTATATACTTCAGATTCATGCTCTTTTTCTGTATTGAGGCTCTGTCTCAATAACAAAAGGAAAAAAAAAATGATACGCTGGGCAGAATCCTTACCAATTTTTTAAACTATAAGATCTCAGTCCATTAAAGCAAAGATTGTGGTAAAGTAATTGGAATACATAGAATTCATAGAATTACCTTTTTTTGCCCTGGGACTCAGAGAGTGTTCCAAAAAACCTTGGGAAAATTAGTATACTACAGGCTTCCCTGTTCCCTGAAAGGTGAGGATTCCTACAAAAGCTTTTA